TGTGGGCTTGTACTCGTATATGAGGGACATTCAAGAGTACTTGTAACGACTTAATGTAATTAAGCTTATAGCTTATTTGGCCAGCCTCACATATTGACAATTTCGGTTCCCCGATGATGTAATTAAATCTACTTTAAAGGCTTTCCCTTTGGATAAAACTGGTTCCGAATTCGCAGACCCACAATTCTAGGTAAATCGATTATAATGGCACTTTAGATCTGAAAAAATTTAATATCCCCCCACACACACACACACACTCGGACACTCCATAACAACAGTTGCGCACTTGAGTTTTGTGAGTGGAATTTCAATTGTTTTCTGGCTGTTTTGCACGTCAGGGCGTCAGAGCGGCCCAAAATTGAATTTTGGAAAGTTTCATAAGCCACACATAACAAAAAAATAAATCTGCTGTACGCCGCTGATTTGTTTACGTAAATTTCTTAGAAATGAAACCCACATAAGGCCTTAAACAGGTTGTTGTTATGAGTCCCAAAGTCTGCCAAACAAGAAACACGCAAAATGTTTAGCTAATTACAACAGAAACACACAAAGATTCCCATACTCCAATCCTGATTTCTTCGGAAAGATAACCCACAATAATATGCCCACTCTATTTAGACAGAGCAGTAGTAGAAATGTTCTAGGAAAGAGAGAGGTGTTGTTTTGTTTGATCAGTTTGATTGTTTTCATCGTTCTCAGGGGGATTTCGTTGCTGTTTTCGGATCAGACATTGATATTTGTTTCACTTTATATGGGGAATACCGATCTATTCTGAATGAGTTTCGTTAATAAATAGCGGAAAGTTTTAACTAATAATAGACCCTAATTGCGTCCCATTTAATGATCTCCGAACTAAAATCAAAGTGGTTCAAAATGGAAAACGTGATCTCTATATTGATCTTTTCATAACAGAGTGCAAAACTTTAGTCTTTTGCACTGTCATTGCTGTCGCAAATATTTATCAATTTAAGGAATTAGCAAAGTTTTTTTTAGCTAAATAGTAGCGACAAATACCGATCGGGCCATCATTCCGAAGACAGAATGATTTTGCATTTTACGGCTACTAAGCGATCGCGGATTGCGACGAAAACAGTCTCCAAATGCGAATCGTCAGAGGAGGTTCGTGGATCTTGGTTGCATAACCTACTTATTTGTAGATCTTATATAAATCACGACACAAGGGAAAGGTTATTTATGATAATTGCCCTGCCGTTACACGATTGCCCTAGTATAGGGCAAGTAGACTTCCAGCCACAAGCGAATTACGGTATATTGTTTAAACAAAAGTTATAAATTTAAATGGCAAGTGTTAATTACGACTGTCGCCTAATGCGCAGCTCCAGGCTCTGTTATAGTTTCATTTCGCGGGAATTAAAAGTGCATTAGTAAATAATAATAAATGAGTAAATTTACGGGCAGCCACAAAACCATATTTAATATTAGTAAAACCCACTTCTACGAGTAGCACTAGAACTTATTTATGAATTTAATCGCAATCGCCAGTCCTCGGGTCCTTATCCGATCCAAGCGTGCGCCAGCGGCGCTTTCGCCTCTCCAGAGTGTCGCAAATTTCAGCAAATAAGTCGATTACAGGTGGAGTTTTCAAAGTCCGATCCATGCTTGGGGGAAGTTATTCTCTTGGCCGAAATGTGTAGAGAGTCGATTGTAAATTTCCCCGACAGACAGATTTATTGGCAGATCTGATACCCGATTGATATGGACAGAGGTGAGAATGGGGTGCAGGAATTTGCTTAGCTTGTTGCCATGAAAGCGGCCTATCGTTGGGACTTCACCATAAATCAAATACACTTATCGAGGAACCCTCATCGAGTGTGTGCACTCTCATAGATTAAACTCGTAACGCCATTATCTGCTACCCTGTAAAACCTCTGAAGGGGCCCCAGGCGACAGGCATTCATTTAGGCCCGTGTAAAATGTTCTTCATTCAGCTGTTTTCGGCCCTGTGAGATGTGGTCATAAACCAGCTACAGACTGTTTTGATATCAGATCGCCATACTCGTAATTATGACATAATTACGTTTATCGCCATCCCATAAACGTGCAGTCGTCAGCCAGTCAACGGCCGCTTATACGACAGTACCATGACAAGGCCCTGGAACCGCACATGAAATTTTCCACCCACACCCGACTACTGCTGTGGACTCTCTCGTTTTCTCCAGTTGGGTGGAAAGCCATTCCTATGAATTGGTATTTCAATTGGAATTATCTTAATTTATGATGATTTTATTCAGTCTGTTCAAAAATTTTTGCTAGCTTTTCTCGCGTTCCAGCGTTTTTCCTATCAATTTCCATTTGCTGTTTGCATTCAGTTTTCAAGTTCAAGTTCACGCCTGAGCCCCAACCTCATATACACATTCGTTTCGGCCGAGTGGTTTCTGGCTCTGTGGCTCTGTGGCTCTATGGCCGTTGCATTGTCTCTGCTGCTCTGCTCTTGCGATTGTGTTGCTCTCGAGCGGTGGGAAACTGTTTGGCTTTGGAGGAGAGGGTCTTGGTATTGTCTCGTGGCTCATGGCCCAGAGCTTATCTGCTTATCTGCGCGCATTTTAGCACTTGAGCCGGGGATTACTTGTAGCCCAGAAGCAATCAAATGGGAATTGGATCGGAAGGCTGGTCTAGACTTTGAGTGAGTAACGGGCACTGGGCAAATATGTATTTCTCATCTGATCGTAAGTCATTCACATTTCATTCGAGTTCCTTGACAAAAGCTCACACACCATAAACGATATATTTTTTTGTTCAGGAATGGAATTCAGGGGAATACTTATTTAACTCGTTTTTTGTTGCTCTCGCATTTCGTTTCGGCTTTTTTGCATGTGGAATAATTTTAAACATATTTACTACATTTTTGTGGGATTAATTTACGGACTTTTAATCAGAAACTCACTCACCTCACACACACCCACAAATACACACGCGCAAACACACACTTAAAAAACAACTTTTCAAAAATACGAATCAGCTGTTTTGCTTTAGTCTTATTCTTATGCCTCTCACTGCTGTTTCCGTTGCTGAAGTTCTTACTGCTCCTCTCACGTGTCTTCTCCCTTTCTCTGCGGTCATTTAACCGATCTCAGCGAATTCGCAGACAAAAACACAGACAGAGGACAGAGAGTGAGAGTGAGAGGAAGAATGCGAGAAGCAAAAGTTCCACTCAATGGACAGGAACACAGTTATTCTATCATCAATAAAACAGTCAGACAGTAGACAGACACTCACGAGAATGGTTTTTCCAATTCCATGGAACTCCAATGGAATTTTCTCTTGTTGGACACTTTCCACCACAGACGCGCACTTGGGTCGGAAACTTTCTTCTTGATCGACACCTTGGGGGCTGTGCTGCCAAGGCCGGGATGCAGGCAGAGTACGGTTGCTGTGCTGTGCTGGAGCGGACAGTCTCGGACGAGCGCTGGCTCTGTAATGACTTACTACCTCGGCTAATTGAACGTTTTTATAATTTTGTTTCTGTTTCTGTTTTACTCACATCGGAGCGCGGACGCGGACAGAGCTGCGTTAACGGACAGAGGAAACACGAAGTGGCATTCGCTCGCACGATTCATCGACCGAACGAACGGCAGCGCAGAGAGGAGGCCTGTTCGTCGGTCGGTTGGGTGGTGGGTGGTGGGTACTTGGTGTGTGATAGACGACAGTGATAATGGCCACGTTTATGAGCAGCGTTATAACCAATTAAATGATATTTTTATATCAGCAGCGACAGCACCAACAACGTCAGCATTGAAGCTGCGCCTGGGGATCACAGAGGCTTCATGGGTATTGGAGCTTTGTCTCAGTTTTCGGGTGCGTACGTGTTACCGGTTACCGGTTCAGGAGAGGAGCAAGAGCAAGAGCAGCTAGCTACGAGTGCAGCTGTTCTCTCGTGCTCTCCGGCATGTCACTCACGTGCGCCCTGGCAAATTCTGGCACTGAGAGCGAGCAGACAGCCGAAAGTTATCTCCAACCGCATGAGAGACGCATGAGATCGCCCGAGTCGACTCGATGCGAAGCTTTTACAATATTGACAGGCCTAATGAGGAGATTTACAGCAAAGACGTCAGAGCTTTGGGGCCATGCAGAACATAACCAATAGAGTAGGAATGCCCCGTGCAAAACAGTTCTGTAAACAGTGCCTTTTATAAACCAATATCCCAATCCAAAAGCGGACAATTAGTGGGCTATAAAGTAACTTTTGACCAACGATAAGAATAGGACTGGGCCGGGCCAGGTAGTTAATATCAACCTGATTTCGGGTGTATAAAGAGTCGTAAAAAATAATCTTGGCAAACAGTAGTTCCAACCGGACAAGGCTATTGCCACTGCCATCAATGACCCACCGACTCGGATGGGGAAAACCTAATCACATGATGCGGGATTGGATTGTGGATGAGCATATCGACAGAGCTGGGAGTGCTTTGAGATCTCCTATCGCCCATCGCCTATGGCTTATGTGACAGTCTCGAGTGCGTTTCAATAGCCGATGCCAAATCAAATAACCATTTTTGCTCTGAGGGATTTATTTGATTATTAATTATATTTCGCCCATCGAGATAGGCGACACTGCGCGTTTAGTGACGGAATGGGAGCCAGAGAAAGATATTCCAGCGCCACATTTGATCCATTATCATTTTGGGGCCTGTCGTTTGACGCAATTAATAATGTGGCAACTGTTTGTCCCTCTCTTTGCGTGAGGACTTTTATTTGAGGCAGATAACGAAACGGTTTTGAGGGTACGAACCAATTAGCGAACAGATTGCTTTTCGTTAAGGTAAACAACAGGGGTACAAATTCGTCGTTTAGATTATAACCCATCATAGATAATATTTCAAGTGATTTTCTATTGAAAGATGACTCAAACTGGGGCCAAAGCGACTCTACAGAATTTACAAGTACGGGGTATCATTTCACATTAGGCAGAACGATGCATAACTAATTTAATTGCTCAGTAGATCGGTTCCATTACCAATTGGATCTCTTGAAACATTCATTCGATCACCTGCAGACTATGATATTCCACCTGATACTGTATTCCGTTCTAGCGCAGGCCAGGGCCATCAGAGATCCTCGTTTTGTTCGGACCAATACGCCGTACCCCCCCAGCCTGGACTGCGGTCTCAATGCCACCAAGTCAAGCTGCTCCACCAGGTGCGAGGAGACCTGTCAGTACAAGTCCCGCAGCTGTCCGCCGAAAATCTGCGGGGGTCCGTGCGTCTGCCTCGAAGACTATGTGATCGACGAGCGGCGATCGGACTGTATTCTGCTGACAGATTGCGGGCTGAAGCAGCTGGATGTTCCCTCTTACCAAGTGAGCAGTGTGAAGTACTTTGGGGCCAACTATGGCCCCTACATTATCCCTGAAGGGAACGTAACAGAAAGTTGAGCGGAAATTGTGAAATTCCTAATGTGAGTGCAACCAAATTGAAATAAATCAGTGCCGAGCTGTATATCGGATGCCAAGCCTGATGGCTGATTAGTTGGAGCAGCACGGACCCCGTCAGAGGCAGCCAGCTCCAGCGGAGGGTAAACATGGCCATAAAACACCGTATGGCCGAGTGCCGAGTGCCGTGCCGAGTGCCGTGTGCTTGGTGCCTAGATAAGAAACGTGCCGCGCATCGGCCGATCCAGGTCCGCACGTTCACGTGATGTGCACGCCGATCTATCATCAGACACATCATCCATATATCAGCGATAATGAATAACAAGTACAATTAACGCGACCAACAACGGCCGATGTGCTAAATGTTGATACAACTGGCTTATCTTGTCACCGATATTGGGCCCAGACATCCACAGATTTGCTAATGATGATGAGGCACACCCATAGCTGAAGTCTGAGGCAATCTGACTGGCAAACAGACTGGTTTAGCCACTTCTCCTCTGCTTTGTCCACGCTTATAGCCAACGACAGCACTGCCATCTTAATCACCTCTGTTTGATTCGACTTGACGGATCACATGCGTGCATACATACTGTACAAATTAAAGCTCATAGATGTGTGCCAAAGGAAAATATTATCTCTGCCATTGCTCATCCGCCGTGTGGCGATTGCAAGGCACTCGTTCATAATACCAAAAGTATGCTATGAATGAAACCGCAATGAATCCGTGGTGAATTAGAGCAGGAGAACATGAATGAAAAACTCTCAGTTTCCAGTATAATATGTCGGCGTTGGCGTTGGGAAAGTAAAATCTAGTCAGCCTTTGCCTTCTTATACCCATTTAGATAGTCTCGCAGTAACTTTTATTATATTCTAATAGTCAAAGCAACTGAAACATACGAATCGGGTCTCTGTTGCCAAAATAAATAAAGACAAATAAAATTCTACCCAATTTCTTTGTTAGTTAATTATTTTGTTTCTAATTCGCGACCACACAACACAAAATGCCTTGCACAGTATTCGATATAAGCGGCGGATCGTCCCGCTTCCGACCCGTCGTCCGCATCGGCAATTGGTTCGAGGAAAACTGCCTCGAGGAGGTAGGAGAGCAAATAGAAGACACTCCAAGACACTCCACTTACAAGTGATAATCCCCTTTCCTAGGACAAAGTTCGCAACTTTAAGAACAAGCGCGATCGGGGCGAACTTCTGGTGGAGAAGGCTCGCACTCTCTACGACAACTTCCACAAGGAGATTGTCCTGGCAGCGCCAAAGCAAAATGTCATCTTCGGAGCCGTCGTCCAGCTGATGCCCATTGTCATGAACATCGAGGACATGAACACTGCTGACCTGAATCTCGCCCTCTCGGTGGTTATCAACGAGCGGGTGGTGCGCCACAGCCAGAGCATCAACGATGACTGCGAGCTGACGGTGGCTCCCTCCGCCCGGGCCTGTGTGCGCAACTCGTTCCGGATCGTCAGTGGCGACGAGCACGACCGCACCGGACAGGACATCAAGTACGGGCAGCGCTTCCGCCTGGAGTGTATGGACTCGGGCAGTGATCCCATCATGCTCTTCAGTGCCCCCAAGAAAGTCAACCTGAACCAGTCCATCGATGTCACACACCAGTCCCATAAGCACGGCGAGCTAAACTTCCCCCTGGGCCTTGTGCATCGCAGCGTAAGATGACGAGGAGTTCATCAAGAGGTTTTTATTGATGGGTTTTTCTTCATCTACAGAGGTGTGGCTGTCCGGGTGGTGACGTGCCGATGGCCTTTACCAACTGGTTCTGCATTCACGTCGATCGCAACAGGCGCTTCGAGAGCGAGGGCGAAGACATGCCCGTTTGTATGAATGAGCTTCCTGCTGAAATTCTTCTAACCCACTCCTCTTCCAGAGCAATGCCCCACTGGTCATTGTCCATGCGGCGACGAACCGCAATCTGGCCGCCGAGAATGTGGTCATCCAGACTCTGTTTGGCCCAGAGTTTCTGGTATCCGTGCAGAACTATCGCAATATCTACAAGCGCGAGCTCTGGAAGAACGTGTGGATGATCAGCAACGGCCACCAGGCAGGCCACATCAGCAAGAAGGCTTAATGTACAAATTCTCCGTCCCAGCAAACCCCCGTTTTCACCTAGTTCCCTTTAAATAAAGGTCGTTGCAATTAAGTGTGAGGTGAACTTGGTTTTTATGTGGCGATAATTTAAATTCGCACATGGAATTGTGTCAGCCGAGCCCCTGCGGCTTGGCCCAGATAATACCTGTCAGTGGGTGCTTTAATACTTGGAATGGAATGAAGGAAGCCATGAGGATGGCGGGGAAATTTGTGGACTACCAAATATGTACAATGTACATAGGTGGAATTTGAATAAGAACGTTTTCTAGTCAGAACAGTTGTCCAGGAAGTATATCTTATCTTTATTGGAGAATCCAATGTATGTTTCCGTGCCTCCTCTGGAACCCCACCCACCTCAATCCAATTCGCATATGAAAGTGTGCCAGCCAGTGATAAAAACTTCCACGAAAATGCCCTGACAAGACCTATAAATTGGCTAAAGGCAGCCACGGTCTGCACACTCATTCCAAAAATGTCTCCGGCTACAAGTCTATTTGCTGCACTGCTCCTGCTGGTCGCCACGACTTCCGTTCCTTGTCAAGCCAAGGCGGCACATGATTCGCGAATCATTGGAGGAGAGTTTGCAGGCCCTGGGCAGTTTCCGCATCAGGTGTCGCTGCAATTGAATGGTCGCCATCACTGCGGCGGCTCTCTGATCTCCGACACGATGATTGTAACTGCCGCCCACTGCACAAAGGACCAGAACCCTGCCCAGATGAAGGCCATCGTGGGAACCAACGATCTGAGCGCCGGTAATGGGCAGGCTTTCAGCATTTCCCAGTTCATCATCCATCCGCAGTACAATCCGCAGAGCCAGGACTTTGACATGTCGCTGATCCGGCTAAGTACCCCCGTGCCAATTGGCGGTGCTGTCAAAACGATCCAGCTGGCCGAAGCGGACTCTAACTATGCCGCCGACACCATGGCCACCATCAGCGGCTTTGGGGCAATCAACCAGAATCTTCAGTTGCCCAACCGCTTGAAGTACGCCCAGGTGCAGCTCTGGAGTCGCGACTACTGCAACGCCCAGAACATTCCTGGTCTCACCGATCGCATGGTCTGTGCTGGTCATCCCAGTGGACAAGTCAGCTCCTGCCAGGGTGATTCCGGCGGCCCGCTCACTGTGAATGGCAAACTCTTCGGCGTGGTCTCCTGGGGCTTTGGATGTGGCGCCAAGGGACGCCCGGCCATGTACACCTATGTGGGTGCCTTGAGATCCTGGATCAAGCAGAACGCAAATGTGTAATTGGAATCGGCATGGAAGTAAACTGACTACAACTATATCAATAAATAAGTACATTTTCGAAATATGTTTTGTTTGCTTCAGTATGTTTTGGGATTTGGCGAAACTACATAGTATTGCTCTTTTACATATTAAGGTTCAAACAATAACGGCCAAAGCATTAAACGTAAATTTTGACTAAATGTGACGTCACTGTGGCTGGTCAAGCAAGATTCTTCAATGCGAATGGACTTTTGTATACCTTATTTCCTTTAATTGATGTTAAATTTGTTGTTCCAAGCTCCATTGAAACATTATTTATGATTTTATCCTAGATTGACATGTTTTTTACCATTAATGCATATGTTTTGTGTTTTATATATACAATTATCCCGGTTCTGATACCTATTATTGGAACCCGTGAGCTGCAAAATTTTGTTAATATCTTTAAGACAGAGACTGAGTAGTTTTTGCATTAATTGGAGCCTGAAATTACAAACAATATCCAAAGTCAAAATGTCAGTGTTTTTTGTGCGCTAAATGAGTTTGGCGGTCATTTTCAAATGTATATATATGGAAAAAAAAATAGTTCACTTGATTTGTTTTGTCGAGTGTGACTGGAACCCCAGAAACTTCAGAAACGAAGAAAAAATAGCTTAACCCTGCTCTATTTAATCAGGTTAGTAACCAGTAAATATCAACATAAAAATAATTAATAATAATTAATATCGATGGCTCAACTATCAATCGTTTGACACTGACGTACCAGACAAGCATTGATACGCGTTCTACAAAATACTGGAAAATACTAAGAAAATTATAAAAATATGCAAGGTGTGTGACCTAAAGAGGGTCGTCAAAAAGGTGGGATTCAGAAATATACCGAAATATACCAACAGCTTTATCTTTTTCTGACTATCTGGCATCCCATGTAACAGCTGCTCATACCAGAAGCTCATACAGTGGAGCTTTGCAACATATGGTCAATTTTCAAAATGTTATGCACATTTGAATATTTTGAATATAAATTTAATTAATTTCTTAACTTTCCGCTAAATGAATATTTTGTTTCGTATGCTTTTTGCCAGTTCCAGTAGGAATTCAGCTCCACATGGCGTTTGTTATTTTTTGATGGAAAGGTGGTGCGACTTGAGTAAAACAAACTGAAATATAGATTACTTTCATAGATTTTATTTATAACTGCATCTGCTGCCTTGTACAATTTCGATTCATCGCTACACATTCACTACGCACTTAGTACAATATTCTTTAGGGTTTAAGTTAAAAAAAGTTACTCGACCACTTCCTATGGCTTTGGGTTTCGTACGCTAAATTGTAAATGCCGCATGCAGTGAAGCGCTTTTGTGTGAAAAATATCAAATGAAGATGCGCATGCATTCAGTAGCAGCTTCTGATTAGTGTTATCTAGTTGATACTATGTATGTATAATATGTACGCTTTAGTCTCGAATAAAACAGTATTTAATCCATAGTTATGTACACATTCTGCAGTATGCGATATGAAGTTGTACAGTACAGTACAGTATGTATGTATATACACAGTCGCTGTGATTGTGACAACTAGACTAATGCTACAGGAGTACGTACACCACATTCACATGTTCGATGAACGCTTGCGTTACATAAGGGATGGGTAATTGGTAAGTGTGTGTCCGTTATAAGTAGAAGGCACTATGCACATTTGCATTAACTAACTCTAAGATCTGCTCAGTGATATCTGCAGTCTGGAAACTGATATTGTAAGTACTACTACAAGCTGGCTGTGTCCAACGCATACGATATGTTGTCGTCTTCAGAACTCAACGAAATTAAATTAAATGAAACGAAACGAAATCCAACGGATACAAGAGTACAAAAACTATACATCTAAACATACATAATTTGGCATAAGGGCTCCAACGCACTTTACAAATAAAACATAAAAAACACAAATCGTAAATCATACATAAAAATAAATAAGTTCCAAATTTTGGTGTGCCATCTAACGATAATGCTTCCCATACAGATGCATAGATGCAATGCAATATAGGAGTAGGTAGGTAGATAGGTGGTAAGTGGGAATGCTGCGGGGCGGGGCGGGGCGTACAGGCAAAACAAAGGCTATCACCGAATGCTTTCCGACCTAGACTCTTAGCCTAAAGCTTACGCACTAGAAACATATTTGGAATGGGGCTTTCGCAAAGCCATTTTATGACAATATAAAATTCATAATTCATATTCATATTCCGGAAATCGTAGGGTTACGCTCTCCGTTGGATCATCCAACACACTTTCCATAAATTGTGCTAAACGTTTACAAATGTAAATGCAAAAATTGCGCTACGACTTCATATTTTTTGCCAGCACTTTTCCTGGCAGGATTCTAACCTAACGGCCCCAGAGCATGCTGACTTTAGGCCTACAAAACTTATAGCTACTGTACAGCAGTCGTTCTCTTTTTTTCTGAGTGTAAGTGTCTGTTCGTCTGTCTGTCTGTCTGTCTGTTTCTCTGTGGATCTATGTGTGGTTCTTATAGCTATGTAACATACATGTTGTTGCTTGGAAACATATCAATTTTAATCATATTTATATAGCATGGCAAAGTAATGCTGATGCTAAACTCCCCCATTTTCCCTACATTTTTCTGCCTATTGCACATGCCTGGAATAGGGGAAATCTATTCCAACTCCTGCTTCCACACTGTCTCCATTTTTCGATGCCGCTTCTGTTGCTGCTTCTGCTGCTGCTGCTGCTGTTGCTGCTATGCTCGCCTGTCTCGCTGTCGTTGGCGCTGCGAAGTGGGCAACAGGAGGTTGCCCCTCGCATAGAAGTAGCCTCACAATTTGGAGCTATCGTAGCTCTCCAGCAACCACTCCTGGCGGGTCAGGGACTGGCTGCACTCCTCCATGAGCAGCTTGTCCTTGCTCTCGCTGATGGCCAGACACTTGCCGGAGGTGCCATGGTGCAGCTGCTTGGTGTTCTCACGATATGTCCAGAACTGAAATGCAGTTTCGATTAGCTCATGTCTCATGAAAGTACCCTACAACAACCTCACCTGATTTCCCTTGCCGCCGTGGCAGGAGTAGAGAATCACGTCCTTGCCGGCATAGTCCAAGCAATAGTCGTCGCGCCGTATTTCCCCCGTCTTGCTCAGCATCCAGTACTGCAGAGGAGCGGAGAGGGAACACATTAATACAAATTGCGATGGAGGCGGATGCGTGGGTCTACCAATTGCCAAGCCAAAAGTTTTGCCAGGACTACAATCGCACAACTTATTACAGAGTAATGTTTTATTCAATTAAATGCCAAAAAGCAGCTCTGTGTCTGTGTATGTGTGTGTGTGTGTGGGTGTATGCATGTGTGTGTGTTTAAGGTTCTGTCCTCTCTGGATTGTGCTGGCTGTATTTGTATGAGTTCGTGTGTATCTCTATCAATCTGGTCATGATTATTTATAATTTAAACCACGTTGCCAATGCCAGATGGCAGGCACCTCGGAACCAGGGTTCGGAATCCGTTTCTGATGCGGGCCATGATTCTGCGGGCGACTGAAAATGCCCTTGTTTGCCCTGCCCTACAGACATACCTCCCTACATCCCTTGCTCTCGTTAGCAGCTCGTGACCAGCCGCCATTTTGTGTTGTTACCATTTCCGTTTCCGCGCCTGCCGTCCGTACAGTCCCTCGCACCCACCCCTTTCTTTATTCGGTTTATAATGTTGCCAGGACTGGAATAATGATGAGCTGGTCAATTCTGGGCGGAAGGGGGCGTGTTGCCGTTGCATGGATAATTCCAGTTATTGTTTTAACAGTCGAATTTCAGAATTTGAGTATCTTTAAGTATCTCGTTGTGGTTACAGTTCCATTGTCGGATGGAATGAGTGGAAATCGCTCCAGAGATATCTTCAAGAGCTGTCTTACAGTTGTGTCACGTAGCTTAGCCCAGTACGCTTCTTCTTCCTGCGAGTAGTTCTACTTCATATTCATCCTTGAGTATTGTTTAGTCCTTGTATCTGCCCCACCCACTCCCTTGTCATCCTTGCTGTTCGCGATTTGCATTTCTTTTCCATTCCATTCCCTTTCCCCTTTTCCTTCATTGCTTTCCCTCTGTGTGCGTGATGCGTTTTTAATTACGTTTTTTGCATGTCGCTTTATATTTCTTTTTTATCTAGCGTATTTTTTATTAAGCCCTTGATACCCTTGCGACGAGTTATTATGATTTTTAGCCCATGCTGGCAACGTCACAGGAAGAGCTTTGATGTTTTTGGAAGAATATGAAAGCACAATTGAACTATCTAAAATCCCTATCTAAACCCTACGAACCATCGATCTTCAAGGGTATCAAGTACTTCCAAACGCGAAGAATAGCCCTCCGTTCTTGTTTTTTATGCTCTCTTTTTCTCCCTGAACCAATTTGTTTGCTGTCTGCACACAGATACTCTCCACTCGTAGTTGTCCTGGCCCAGTCGCGTTTTTATACCCTTGTTCATAGCAAAAATTCTTTCATTATGTGGACATTCGGCCAGCAGTATCAACAAATTTTCGCAGAAGACTGACTGTTTACAACCTCCTGGTTGCCGTAGCCTTTGACGTATTCCCCTCATGGCAGTCCTTTGCGCCCCCCGCTATCCACTGGCCGGTGTACATGCAAATGTTACGATGTGCGAAATTAAAATGTACGTGCGAAAAAACTGTGCCACGCCTCCTTGCTTAAACGCCCATGAGTTTGGGACCGAAATTCCCGCCCGTACCGCTGCCGCTTTGCAAATGTTGATTATTTCATTCGCCGCCGCATTTCCGAGTGCAAACAAACATTTGGAGGATTTTTCTTTTTTTGTACTTGGATGCGGTTTCTATTCTGTTGCACTCTTGCCATGTCTGTGTGTGTCTGTACATGGGGGGCGGTGAATGGGTGTACGCGGGGTTGTTGTTTGCTGCCGTCTGTCTGGGACGATTTTGAAGCGAGGCGAGGCGAGGCGTCGGCCAGTAGAACGGGGTCAACACTTTCCCCCCATTTAAATGCTGAATATACAAAAAGCTGAAAAACACACACACACACATTGACAAAGTATCTGTGTTTGTTTTTGTGTGTGCATGGGTGTGTGTGTGTGTGATGTAAAGGATTCTATTGTCTGTTGCAGTTCATTCGCCAGCAGTTTGGTTTGTTGCCGAGATCTGTGTGGGCCCTCTGTTGCTTGTTTAGTTGTCAAAAATTCTTGTTACTAAATGGGTTATTTTTCTTTCTTTCATGGACACTCGAATGGTTGGTGTAGTTAGTTCTGTATATACATAGCTGTTTTTGTTGTTCTAGTTGTTGCAGCAGTTGTTGCCGTTGATGCTTTGCCGCACGACACAAAAAAGCTCTCAGCAGCTGAAGCCAAAGCGATGCAATGATTTATCATTCGCAGTTTTATTTATGATTCGTTTTTAATTAATTTCTGTGTGACATGGCATAAATCGACCAAAAGTATCCCCAAATATCGTGCGCAAGTATCTGTCAGTGTTCGTGTTTGTGTACGTGTTAGTTTGAATGTAAATGTGTGTTTGTGTTTTTGTATGCGATTGTATCTGATTGTATGCATCCTGTAAAACTGTTAAATTGTCAATGCAATTTTGCTTGGCAACAAATAAATACTTTCACTTAGGCTATGCAAATAAATTGTAAATTGAATATGAAATGCTTTCAATCCACATTATTTTTATACGACACTAAAATTTATTAGACTAGCCACAAACTCCGTCAAAATTAGTGCTCAAAACCGTAGGACTTTCACAAGGGTAAAAAAAAAACGACAAAAATACGGTTATTGTTGTCAGCTCTTAACGAGGATCCACTTTTGAGATACCTTTCGGAGGCACAGGCACCAAAAATCAAAAACCAAAAACAGGCAAAACTTTCCAACGAAACAAAAATATCAAAATTAGATTGGAGTACGTGGGAGGGACTATTAGGGGTTTAATGTCTTATCAAAGAATAATTGAAGAAAATTATGATTGAAAAATAAATTATAAATTTGCGGATAGGATGTGCTTTAGATGATTAGGCCTAAAGATGATTAAAGGTCTTTGATACAGAAACTTGAGAGCAAGGAAATTATATCTAGAATGTGTTTACTTCTTAAGAAAAATAGTATCTATAGATTATTGCAGACAAAATACTGGGAGGTTATGGAGATCTGATAGTTACTGGAAAGGACCTCTTGTGAGTCGGATAATGATAAAATATCCCAATCGTTTTAAGTTTACAAAATTAACAAAAATTCTCTGTAGCTTTGATCTCTATGATCTGTAGTCTTCCTCTAAGGTTTTCTTCAAAAATTCAAATTAAAATTGTTATAAAAATTACAGGTACTTAGTGGAAGGATTAGATTAATAGAGCTCCTGAACCTCTTAAGTGGGGTTATTTCATGATGATGTTATGTGATGTGACTTGGAGGAGTGTATTGTCAAGTGTCAATTGGATGTGGGGTTGGGTTGGGTTTTGGAATTGGTTTGGATTTATATTAAAATAAGCAAACGAGAAGCGCAAAGCACTCAAAAAGCGCAAACAAAGTCAAGAGACAGGAACCGAAGCAAAAAACCAACAATTCAAATTTCAACAAAAGCGGGAAACATGAAAATAAATGTTAAGAGAACGAGGTGGGGAGCAGCGACGAGCCGCACCGCGCCGCGCCGGCCGCCTATGCCTCCATCTGGCCGGTATGTGTGGTATGTGGATACCTGATTTCCTCCTTGGCCATGACACTGATACACGGAAACGGTCGCCAATTCATTATGCTTTTCCAGCCCATCTAGGCACATGCCCGACGCTATGTTCGACATCTGGAAATTAAGTTCATGTAGAGTTCATAGAGAGGATTGGAATGAGATCTGAGAGCTGTTCAAAGGATCAAAGGCTCTTGTAAAATCTTAGAGCTGGAGAATGCCACCACATTGCCAGAAGTATATAGAGAGATATTAGTTTTGGGACTTAGTGTTTAGTAGCAGCGAAGTGGGAGTACGGATCTAAGAGTTTTTTGTTGCATCTTTCGGTTTTCGATTACGGATTACGGTTTGCGTTTTGTGTTGCTTGAACGGAGTTTGTGGCGGTCGCAGGGCTGCTGAGATGCTGTTACAAAACAAACCTGATTGCCGCCCTGGCGATGGCAGGGATAGAGACCCACGGCCTTCTTCTGGTGCTTCTTTCCGGTGGGAGAGTCCAAGCAGGTGCGACCGCCATAACCTAGGTTTCTTATCTGCGAATTGGGATTGATATCGTGTTCGAACCAGTTGTCGGGGTTAGTGTTTCAGTTGGGGTTGGTTGGGGTTTGGCCCTAGTGGTTGGGGGGGGTGGTGGGGACAACACTGGGGAAACCGAAGGACTTACCTCGCCATGGGCCACCGCATCGCCGGGTATGAATAGCTCGGGATAGATGTTGTCCAGATACCACTTGAAGCTCTTGCACTGCAGGTCCTCCCTGGATGATGATGAGCATTTGGGATGATTTCTTGTATAGATGACTACCGTACCCCTCCCCTCGCACGTGGGAGCCCCGCACAACTTACCGCAGTTTTTTACGATCGCTGACATCGCCCCAGTCGCCCTTCTCGTTTCCGATGCGATGGTAGTAGTACTGCGAGTACTCATCCATCCAGACCTCCGCCAGCCGTACCGAGTTCTTGCGCAGAACATTCACGCCCGAACGCCACTGCAATTGAAGGGAAAACAGAGAGTGGATGAGTGCACTGGGCAATGGTTATCCAAGGAAAGCAGGGGAAAGGATAGCAGAGGAAAAGGCACGGCCAAGCCAAGCGCAATCACTGGGCGGGCGCCAGAGTCAATGGAAATATTTGGTCAGCAAACAGAGTAGACTGAAGGTAGAGCAGAACAATGCAGTTTAAGCTCTGGGCGGTGTCCAGGTCCAGCTTCTAGGAGGGGCCATGAGGAAGAGATGTAGCAGCAGCAGCAGCAGCAGGAGAGGTGGGCAACAAAGCCTAATTACCTGAATGAGTGGCTTTTGCTTAGTGGCATTATGTACGGCTTCTGCTGGTTTGCTGCTACTGCTACTGCTGATGCTGCTGGTGTTGGTGTTGGCCCTGTTGTGGTTGTCTCTGGCTATCTGTCCTTGCCTTCACTTTACCTCTACTTGCCCCTTCGCCATACATAGCACCACACCACCTAGTGGGCATTGTCCGCCTGTTCTGTGTGTGTCTGGTTCTGTGTTTATGTGTGTCCCTGTTATCGCTGCTCGTTTCATGAGGATAGCGGGAAAGCAGAGGCTTGACCGGAGAGGGGGGTGGGTGGTTATTCAGCAGTGGGTGTGGCGGATGCCAGGACTGGAAGATTTAGTGTGTGCACCTGACGTTTATTGAAATTGCAAAGGGTCGAAGCAGTATATTTGGTGCTCTCTCCACAGTCGATAACTAAACGATAAATGTAGCGATCTGTTGCTGTTTCTGATGGAAACCTGTTTGTAATTTATCGATTAGTGTAATGTTTGTTTTGTGCCATTTACAGACATTTCATCCCATGCTGCTGAGCTCTCAATTAGGTTTCCTTTGTTCTATATGCAACTCATCTTGAAGACAAACTCCCCAGGGAATTTGCTGTTACCCAACGGGACCGGGCTCGTGTTAGTTCCCCTCCGAGAGCATGCACTGAAGCTCTTTGTGTTGCGGTATTGACATCCAAACAGTTGCCAAACTTTTGTCAAGCGTAAACCGTTGATAATTGAAGCAGCCCCAAAAGGCAGTGGCAGTAGTTGTAGGAGGTGGAGAAGATGGAGGAGCTGGGGGACACACATGGCAAAGACAGCCGCAATGCATGTCCATGTCGAGGTCCCTGTGACTGGGCTACGCTCCATGTTGCTGCTTTGCGGTTGGCATTGGCATGGGCAAGAGGAGAACATGGAAATGGGTAGAGTAGAGTATGTGGTTATGGGCGCTGGTTGGGTGTGTGTGGGTGGCGAGGGCCAACGAGGATTGGGCCACTGTTGACCAAACACGAACCTCGGCTGGTAACTGGTAACTGGTCCTGAGGCTGGCCACACAAAGCGATGCCGAGCACACAGCACATAGCACATAGCACGTGATGTTGTGTAAGAGTTTTAAATTCTTTTGGTCGTCCCCCCAAGCTTCAGACCCACTTGCAACCCACTTCCATGCCACTCGAATCCACCTCTACGGTCCTTAATGAGCAGTGGCCGTGCAGTGGAGTGGGGAGTATATCAATGTTGGTTTTGGGCAGCAATTTCTCTCAGAAACACAGATGGACCGACAGATTGCCATTTCCGTTTTTGTGTTTCTGTTTCTGTTTCCATTCGATAATTGATCGATGACACTTACCTTGTAGGGGGAACGCTTGCGGAAGATGTGGCCCACGTGGGAGCAGGGCACAATCTCCAGAGTGCCGCCGCACATCCATGTCTTGAAGGACAGCTCCAGATTCTCGCCGCCCCAGATGTCGAAGCCAGAGTCGTAGGTTCCCAAGCGGTTGAAGTACTCCCGGTCTATCGAAAACAGTCCACCGGCCATAGTGGGGGAGTAGACGGGCTCCGCCGTGCTCTGGAAGGTAGAAAAAAAAGATAGAATCGATGTGAGTAAAGTTACGAAAAGGCGTGGGAGAAATTTAATTTCACTAATTGATACACTCAAGCGGAGGCTCCCGCATTCATGCCACAAGTACCTTGCACCTGAGCCAACTTTTTCTATGGTACCCCCACCTGGCTGTCAGGCAGTCCCTTTTCAAGCTCTCTCTCAGTCTCTCTTGAAGAGAAAGTTTGTTTTTGCCTTTTTTGGTTACTCTCAACAGCTTGCCACAAAAATACTTGAGGCTACGTTTTATTTAGTACAAAATTTTCACTCTGTCTCCCACTCTGTCTGCCTGCCCCTCTCGACTATCTCTTTCACACCCTTTATCTGGTTTTCCGGCACAAAATGTTGTTGTAATTGAATACTTTGTCCAGAGTCCTGGCTGCCACTGCCCGAACTCCCTTTGGGGCACCGAAATTCCTGCATTTAATTGGAGAATTTCATTCCGTATTTCATTGCAATTTAATTTCAGGAATATTCTCGATTTGTTTCGAATGCCAGAAGCAGCAGCAGCAGCAGCTGTTTGTCCGCTTGCAACATATAAAATGATTAAAAATAAATACACTTTGCAATGGAGGTTTTTATTTTTGCTGCATTGTTTCGTAATTTGTTGTTGTTCAATGGAAAACCAAACACAAAAAAAAAAGAAGTAGCACAATGGGATAAAACAAGAAAGAAAAGCTTACGCGGGATACCCTTTAAAATGTTTCAATTTTAGTATTTAATGGCAAATGGAGTTTGGATTTAAACCAAGAAGGAATGATGGCATAGAGAGTCCATAAGGTGATATTCTGGGCAGCACCCCCAAACAGAATGCATCCTGGGGGATTGCATGCTGTTTCCAGTGTCGAGGCATACACACATCTACTTCTAAAACATTCACCTGGCCCTCTTGCTCTCTCCCACAAAAGGGTATTAGCAATTATGAAAGTGTTTTAATAAATTAAGTTCCCGCATTAATTGTACTATATATTTATTGTGATTGCTTTTAATTTTATGGATGGCTCCGGGGGAGACATCATAATAATTTCCATTATTATTAAATTATGCGCGAAATGTGCACAGAGTAATTATTTTGTATACGCCATGTTGCAAAGGTCAAAACGGTGCTGCTACTGCCACGCAGCGGGGAAGCGAATGGGGGGAGAGGCTAAAGCCAGCAGATACAATTGCAGGCAAAGTAATTGAGTTTCAGGAGGAGAAAACAAGCGAGAGAAGAGAAAAAGGTTGACAAACGTAAAACGAGAAAATAAATGAAATTGTCACAGAGATGGGTCCGAAGGACACTCGCCGAGTGGGTGGCAGCTAAAAATGTGTATCGTTAAGTCAACAAGAAGGAGGCAAATCCAGAAAAATATCTGGCAACAGGACAACAAAGTGAAATCTCCGAACGCGACAACTGCCATTGTGCTTTTGGGGCCAGCAGCAGCAGCAGCAGCAGCATCGCTGACGAGGAGCGTAGCAGCGGGGGAGGGTGATGGGGCTGGGCAGGGCAGGGCAGGAAGGAAGACGCGGCCGGCCGTCGGCAAATTCGCAGTGTGACATTTAATAAACGCCTGCAACAGAGCTCCCCGAAAAAAGTGTGGCAGCTACAAGGACGGAGAACGGATGTGGCAGGCAGAAGCGGATGGGGCACGACAATGTACCCAAATATGCGAACAGAAAAGAGGAGATGGCATGAGGCATAAAGGATAAAAGGACATGCGGGCGGCCTTTTTTTTTTTTTGCCATCGGAAGTGACAGAACAAATAGCAAAAGTGAAAAGTTAAGAGACAAGGGCGGATGCGGGGGCTGTGGCTGTGGCTGGGGGGAGCTTGCAGCATGTGAGTATAAAGCGAATCTTTTTATTGTTATAACCTGCACACGCACTTCTCCCTCCCTCCCTCCACCATCCGCTACTGAGTTTCATTTTTTGTTTTCCGCTCTCGCCGCTCAGAGGAAATGGAAGTAAAAGGCACATACACATACACACCGACAAAAAATGAGAATTATTTGTACATAAAAAAAAGAGTTCTGGCGAAAATAAACCGAAATGAAATAAAATGAAATGCAGCTCTGAATAAATAAATATACAGGGAAATATGAGTGAATCATGTTGTTGCAGTTGCAGTTGCACTTGCTGTTGCAGTTTGTGCAAACAGCGGGGGCACAACTTTTCGCTTTTCCGACGGCTCCTCCTTCCTGCATTTCCGCCTGGTTTTTCCCCTGGTTTGCCATTGGCTGAAAAATAATACAGCTTAAATGATTTAAATGCACACAAACAAACAGAATTCTTATGCCCGAATGATTTACGCTGCAGCGCTTGTGGGGGCGGAAAACGAATATGAAACTTGTGGCCAAAGCGAAAGGAAATTAAACAGCAATAAGCAGGGGATGAAAAGTGTCGTCAAAAGGAAATCCCCAGGAGATTTACCACAATTTGTCCTGTTAAATATCATTTGATTGAATTCGCAACATTATTTCCTCTTCAGCAGCGAATTAGCATTCAGTTTATTTTATTTAATTGTGTAAATTATATTTTATTTTATATAAAAACCGAATCATTCAAACGGAAAAAACAACATTGTTAAGCAAGCTTTTCTGATGGAAAGAGGATCAATATATTGCATGTAATTGTGCAAAAATGCAATTGAGTGAAAAATCAATCAATCCTTTTAAATAGAATAAAGGGTGGTCCTCAAAGGAGTCAATAAATTTGCAAAGAAAGCCTGAAAATTTCTTTGAATTGCTTCGTTATTTACGTTTTTCTTTGGACCATTTATTTGGCCATAATCCCGCCTTAAGGCCTACTTCAGTTGCGTTAACTTGGACTTCTTAAGTGGCACACAAAAAGGAAGATTCATGGCCGAAACAAATCAATTTTCCGTGAAAATGGCATAAACAAGCAGCGCCACCAAATCTGATCCTGGGGGAAGAAATAGAGCTTAAGATGACAAAATGTCAAAAGTAACTTAGGCACATTTCTCATTCTTATTCTCAGAAACACAAGGACAGGTCTCGGTCTACCGTTTGCCCATTTTTGGATATCACAATCCTGAAAATCCTATGGCATTCATAATGGTTAAAGAGTGAAGGATGGAGATGCTCCAGAGGTGGTTGTCGGATCCATAGCATTTCTCTCCATAGGTTCCACTTTAAAGTCGCTGGAAAATGTGCTAACCTGCTGTGGCTTTCAGCTAAGGAAACCCCCAACCCACTCTCCTCGCCCTTCTAGCAGCCACAACAACATATCCACATTAACATCAAATAAAACAGTCACGTAGAGTGGCAGCGGCAGCGGTAGCGGCAACGGCAGGAGGCACCGAAAAAATATGCCCAGGAATATCGTAAATGTCAGGAGGCGCCTCAGAGGGGGTGCTTGGAATCTCTAGAGCCACACACCAAGTGCCGATGGGTCTCTTAGAGCACAGCAGGCAGGCCCTGGCAGGAGGCGAGCAGGCGATGATAATGTTTAAAAGATATAATAGCCAGGGTAAGGAATATGGGTATACCCTAAGTAATAGGTGGGGAGAAGTGTAGAATGTTTAGAGAAAGATATTTGAGAAGAAATTAATGAAAGATGTGCCTATGCGCTGACTGATTCATGATATTTCGATTTTGCATGGTACTCGCCTCTTTTTTGTAGGCTTTTAAGACAGACGGCTGTGCACAATATATGTTAACTGCCTCGGACATGCAATCCCTGTTGCTACCCTCGAAAACCTTCGATGTAATGCCTAACAAAATAAACAAGACGTTGGCGGTGAGAAGAAAAGCAAGACACGCGCTCCCGAAAAAGTACGAAAAATGCAAAGCAGACAAAAAATGAATATAGCGCTGCTTGACATAATGTGAAGTTGACTTTGACAAGTGCTTGCCGGGAGACGCCTCCTCCAAAAGCAGCAGCAGCCGTCACCACACTTCTACATACATACATATCCGTGTGAGTATCTGTGTGTTCGAGTATATGGTGTGTGTGTGCTGGTAAAGTGGCAACTTAGCGGGGCAACTTGGAGGGTTTTATGTGCTCGACTGGGTATTTGCATTTTGAGTCAAGCACCGAAAAGTCGCAATCTTCGCCAAAGTTAATAGTTGGAGGAGTGCTTCAGGTCAGAGGCTCCAGACACGAGGATGTATCTTTGAGCTACAATTTGGCTTATTGCACGAGTGTCTGTGGAACCCCAGCTCTCTAGCTGCAGCTGTAGATGCAGATTCAGGAAATCTCGTGTCTGAAGTTTCGGTTCCTTTCCTGAAGCTGCCTGGTCTCAACCCACTCAGCAGCATCCTTCTGTGCCCCGAATCGGGGCTCCTCAAAAGCGTATTTAAATGTTTAATGTAGCATGCCACACACAGGCAGATACACACCCAGCACCCTTAGGGAACGGGTGGACTGAACGGGGTTATGGAGGGGTGAGGTGAGGTTTAGGTTGAGGTAAAAGTAAAAATTAGCATAAAAAAGTTGTTTCAGTGCTTTGCTGATTTTGCTTTGATTACCGGTTCACTGGACTGTTAGCAAATGCTTAACGTTCCCCTGCCGCTTTTTCCCTACACCCCCACGGACACACATGTTAGGGAGGGAGAGCAGGCAGGGGCGTCGGCGCTATAACTCATAGAAGGGGGTACGGTACTCCTCGTTTGGGTGCTCAGAACAAAAGAACATTCAAAAAATTTACGATAAATCCTTCCGTTAAATTCTCTTTTTTGACACCCCTTTCCGACCTAAGCCCCTGCTTTATGAAGGGGGAACCATAAAACGCAGCAGCAGCAGCGACTTCCAGGCGCGAAAGCGCGTGCACAAAACTTTCGACATTTTTAGTACGCAGCGCATCCTGCCACAAGGACCTGGAGAGCAGCAGAGAGCGAGAGAGAGCTGGAGATCCTCAGGACCAAGTGCAATAAAAACTAAAGTGCAACTTTGCGTATTAAGCAGTAAAATCTGCGCCAGGGAAACGCACAAGAAGTGGCGGCAGATGGAGGATAAAGCAGGACGCGAC